TTTTCTGGTTGATGAGCATAAGGTACATGGTCCATTCAGACAAATGGGGAGAAACAACAAGCTACGCCGAGAGAGAGAGAGAGAGAGAGCGGCAACCAAAAAAAAAACAGTTGCATGAAATATTAATGTCATATTTACTGACAAGCTCTCGTCGGGGACGTCTGGGACCAGAGAGCTCGTGCTTGACTGACGAGCGCAACTGTAGGTACAGAGGTGGACATGCGGCGCACACGCAGACACAGAAACACACTCATACACGCACTGGTGGAAGTATGACTGGACAGGAGGAACGACGCCCCCCCCCCTCCGTCCTCCAGAGAACGCCAGTAGTTTAGCACATATGCTGTGGACAACATATTATTTCTTGTCAGCACCTCCAGCACTATAATTTGAATTAAGAATAGTGCTTCATCAGATGGGAAGAGGGAATCATGTAAGTGGGAGTCCTTTACTCGCGGACGCCCTAACTGGGGCTGGCTTATAAATAATATAAATATTATTCAGATATTTTTAGAACATGCTATTTTTTATATATTTGGAGTTTACTTTGATTTCTTCTTCACCAATTGCATATTTCGGATGCATATTATCAGTTTGATCAATCCAGTAAATGGCATCATTATTGTGTATTTTTTTTTATTTTTATAAAATAAGTATATTTTGTAGGCGAAGTCTTTTTGTAGTTTTGTATCTTTTTACAATTTGATATAAATTTATTTAGTTTTATTAATAATATTAATATTTATTATTGACACATATTTCAGAATTATTGAATGAAAGAATATTACCTCCAAAAAGTCAGTTTATTCATCTCTTATTTTATAGTCTCTCCTAAAACGTTCTTTCTGCACACGTACTGCAGAACAACATGAGGGGCCAGTTACACCATCTTCTTTCGAGTGGAGGCATCCTCCATGACCAATCCTGACCTCCACCCGCATCCGCTTCCTCGGGGCTCTTCCCCTGTTCCCCTGCCTCCCTTCCTCCCTTCAGATACAAAAACCCTCCCCACACCCACTCTCATATGCCACGCTCACCCAGGAGAGCGTGAGAAGGAGCGAGCCGCCGGAGAAGCAACAACGCCAAAACACCTCTTGTGCCGGCGGCTTAAATAAAAGACGTGACTATTCATATTTTTGCTTGTGATTCTGAGTCTCGTGTCGTGAGTCCTCGCCTTCTCCTCATCGACCCGTCTTAGCCCTCCTTCAGAAAATATCTCCCCGTCCCAGAAATTCCAAACTTGCTTACTGCTTACCTAATTTTTGCGGCATATTTCTCTGCCACAGGAGGTGGTTATGACAAATTAGAAGTCTACAAATGTTCTGATGGTGTAAAGGCCCCAGCTGTCACCAGGGAGATGGTGATCAGGTTTCCGAGCTGCATGGTCTCTTGGCGCCACAAAGAGTTCCATATGGTCATCCAAATGCTGCACCTAAATCTGCTCCCAATCTCCACCCCGGAGCTGAGCGCTTCTACTGAATTAGTCACAAGGCTTCTGAGCATATGAGGTACAAGACAACAGAAATCATGTGTGGTTGGAGGGGGGGAGGGGGGTGTAGCAGTGAATAGAAAATGGGAGTTTATTAGCAGAAATGAACATGTAAACATATTATTCACATTTCTTGCATCTCTAATGATCTAAATGATCTCAAGAAGAACAGACGGTGAGGAGGACGCGGTGTCAGAGTTTGTCATTTCCACTGCAGTCTCACTTTGGGGGTTTTTGTGAGCCGGATGTTCTAAATGTCAAAATAACAGACAACGTTGAGACAAAGAAAACCCACAAGGAATGTTTTCACCTTTCCTCGGTCATACTTACGTATATCAAGATATCTTGAATCATATGAGAGCAAATTACCAGTTTTCCAGCAGTCAAATGGTCTCTTTGCTTGTGACAGTTAAGCGGTTTCCATTTAGTTTCCGCTTTATTTGTTGAAAACAGCTCACGGTACGAGAGGTCCTGCACTGCAGAGTCGGATCGTTGGATCATGTTCTTTACCAAACCTGTCAACCTGCTCCAACAGAACCTCCCCCCCCCCCCCCCCCCTGCGGCTCCGCCATCCTCTCGGCCTGAGCCTGGGCGAGCGGGGCATCGGTGATCTATAATTAACCGGCGGGTCGGTGTTGATGTCATTGACGCAGCGTGGAGGTAGAAGGTGGCAGAGCCAAGGCACCTGTTGTTGTGGAGCGTGGCATCTGATATCATTACCCACCCAGCCGGAGCGCCAACGAAGCGTCCAAGCTACCGACCGCGCTCGCCTTTCGCACGCGCGCGCACATCTTCCGCTGTCATCATGTCCTCCTTTACATAACCAACTCTGACGGCCCCAAAACCGAGAGGGCAGAGATCCACAGAGAGTTTCAATCATTGGTAATGACGTTTTAATGGTTGATGGTTAACTTATGCAACCATCACTACGCAGCTGTACAAACATTCAATGGCGAAAGCTTCAAAATTTTGCGGCTTCACAGCCAAAAGGGGGTCTCAAGGAACAGGCCAACTTCTCGGTAATGTTTGAAATCAGACGCCAGGTCACATGACTCGAAATGGCCAAGTGATCCATCAAAAAACAACCTTCAAAATACTTTTAAACAATGAGCTGCAGCTATTTCCGCTTTTCCCCATGTTTGGTAGGGATTGAGCTCCAGTAGTTTCACTGCTGACTGGGTTTTGTTCGTGGTCGGTCGGTTCGAGGCTCCACGGCTGGCGACCCCGAGCCTGTGAGACAGCATTTTGCACGACGCTCGCGGTGGAAACGGTTGGTCGTGAAAGTGCCGCTCAAGCTGTTCAATGATAATAACGACACTCTTTAGACAGCGGATGCGTTGCATGCCGCCGAAGTGAGCCGGTCGCCGCTGGTGGAGGGAAAATGTTAAAAAATGTCGCGGGGGAGTGGGAGGGCCGCGCACACGAGTATGAAATATGAATAGAACATTTACAGTGAGACAATGTGACCGTTCCGCTCGAATTCCGTTTATTAGTGTAGCAGCTTTCCCAAGCAGATCAGAATGCCTGAGCCCTGGGCACTGACAGGGATTTCACGCATTTTCAGGCTGGCAGGGTTCACACACACACACACACACACACACACACACACACACACACAGACAGACACTTGTGCACACATAGATGTAACTTTTTTTTTTTAATTATTAGTCATGATATGGTTTTTTAAGGTTATTTTGGCCACAATCTTCATATTACACGGTCTACTGTGTAGTGATAATTATTCCAAATAGAAATTATAATATATGTAATATATGTTAATACTATATGGTGCAAGTTTAACCTCAAGTGTTACTACAGACGCTGCTTAATCGCGTCTTAATTGCTTCATATTTAAACTAAATCCTTCTTGTAGATGCACATATTAATAAATCAACAATAAAATATATTTTTAAGCGTTACACGTGTGCATCTTTTCTATTTCAAAAAGCAAAAAAAACAAAGCAGCAAAATCCCACAACGTTATGTGTTTAAAAAAAAAGAATTATGAATCTGCTTCCCAGATCTGCAATAAAGACACAGCAGTGCCCTACATTATTGATTCAGTTTCTAGCAACCCAGAGTGTCTTTAGTCACTGCAAATGGTGAAGAAGGAATCACACACCTATTTGAAAAAGCACTGCACCAATTAGGGAAGTTGTAGCTCCTGCTTTAATAAGTCCTGTGAGATCTGATTTACGGCAGGCGAGCGACGTTGGCGACGGCTTATTGCTAATTAGAAATCATTGACGGTATTACCCAACATTCAGGGGGTGTATCACCGGTATGTACACAGACAGGCCTGCAGGTATCTGTGTGTGCACAAAGGCAGGAAAACACACAAATAAAGATGCATATTGCTGTGTTACATTAATCACAAATGTTATTTCTGTACGTTCAATCCTTTGTTTATTTCCAAGCTTTGCTGATGTCCAATCAGCAGCCGCGACGCCTCGTGTTTTCCTGCTAAAATGTTTCTTTCCCCGCCTGTCTTCAGGGAGCCGGTATCCTTTTCATTAATGTCCCTCGGAGTTAAAGCCCCACGTCCTCTGGGACATCATGCCATCGGCTGACAAGCTTTAGCGATTTGAGTGAATTCTCCTGCAATAATGGAAATACCCCGAGACCCCGGAGACAAAGAGACGGGGGACCGGCAGGAAATATCTTAATCTGCATTGACCCTTCGTTGGCACAGTAGTGAGAGGAAGGTGTGCACGTGCACACGTGTACGCGTGCACACGCGTACATCTGGATCGCGTTGCGGCGACCGCGGGCCTCTGGGTGTGCGGCCTCAGTGGCAGTGCGTGGGTGAGAGCCAGGGTCCAGTGCACCATGGTGGGGGCTCTCCATCACTCTGCCTCCCGGCTTGACAGGGCCCCCGGCTCCGGGGCCCTGTCAAGGTCTCGCCGAGTGCACTCAAACTGTGCGCTGCTGAGGAAGGGATTCTGTATCCTTCTAATGGATTACTCACCCACATCACCTGTCTGAGCGGATTCTTTTGACGGACAGACGCACGCGGACACGTGTGTGACTTTTAGGGAAGGTGGAAGCTCTTCAATCAACGTTATCCGTCAAATGCAATCTCTCAATTCTCCTTTTCGTTTGGGGCTGAAAAACACACATTTGTCAAAATGAACTGTGATGCAATCCAAGATTTTGGCTTTGGCTCCCACTGGATGGCAAGTAAAGTTGTTTTCTCCTATAACTAAAAAGGTTACATGTACGCCTCGGTCGTTTGGAGAGAGAGAGAGAGAGACAGAGGGAGGTGGTGTCACGCTGCTGGACACCTGCGGACCTCGGTCAGGACCTCGGCCCTAATCAGCCTAATACATATATGTCACTTACAATGACCCACAGGCTCTGCTCATAACAAAGGTCACTCGTGAGAGATACTCTGTCCCCCTCGGTCCTCCCTAATGGGAAGCCACCTGGGCTTTTATTACCAAGTGCACTGCCTGACACACTCTAGCACGTATGCAGACTACCCCGCCGCACATGGCCTTTATTCTGCTAATTCCATTTGGATTGCATTTTTATTCAACATTCAACCGACCACATGACTTTTGTGATGTTCACACAATGATTCTACAAAGTATTAATACAAAGATGAATGTACTTATGACATAGAGAAGCCCTCATCCAGGGGAATGTGATGGTGTTTTGTGGTGCAATTTTCTGCTATTTTTTATTCAGGATTTATTTTGCTAGAATGTTTTTGGACATTCTGGGCTTTATTTAAAGGACAACGTAAGAAGATGATGGGAAACAAAGTGAGGGAGACATTGCGATTACAGTAAACGGTGTGCGTCTTAACCACCGGTCCACCACACTCCCATACTTCTTATATTTTATTAACACAAGGATCGATCAAGAAAAGAACCAGCGATATATTCACCTGCCTTTATTTCTCTTTGCGGACTGTTTAAGCCTCTTAGCTCAAGGTGAAGAACAATGTATCCCCTTTCCATTCGGACAGATACTGTACATCATTTCCAGAAAAAGGGGCGAAATGCTATTGCCAGTAAATAATAGCCATAGAGGTCAGCTATTGATCCGGTGCTGAAGGGGACCTTGGGGGCATGTTGAGAAGGGCCATTGCTGCTTGTCAATGATCCCTTTATGGCCTCGGACTCGACGAGTCTGCTGCCATACATCAAGGTTAAACTAGTCCTCTAATAGCAAATCAATGATGGTCAATAGAAATTATCATGTGATTACAGTTCAGCCGGGTAAACCGTCCGTCTACGGCCCTCCAGCCGAGGAGGAGACAGCTGCAGAGTCTCCGTGAGGGTCACGTGTCCACGAGTCCTGCTCCAAGTCTGTTGTGAAATGGCGAGGTCATCCGTTACTTTAACCGAGGAGGCTGCGGAGGTTTGAGGAAGCAACGCAGAAGTTATATTGAGATAACCTTTACACAAGAGTAGATATTTCACCTGCATTGAGATTACCCTGTGAGTAACCTACTTGTTATTTAGTTCTAAGCCTCCTCTATCTGCGTGGCTCGACCCATCTGGAGGCACCATCACTCAAAAGTGTCTGCCGTGCGACTAAATGGGGCGCGGGGACATATCTATCTAGCTATAACCTTTGCAGCACTGATATTTATGATAAAGACCATTAGGCATTTTCCTGAGTTGCTTGCGCAAGGGCTTTAAGGCTAACAACGATCGTGAAGCAAAGCGGCTATCCGGGGTTTACGCCGACGTCCGTGTCATCCGTCTGCAAAGCAGACGCTGCCTGGAGAGGAGAAATGTCACTGCGCCCGGTGAATTCCAGAGGTCAGGATCCAAACATTGTCTATAAAACCTCGGTTATGAAAGCCCAGAGGATAATAGGATCAGTGCACATTGTTTCCCCCTTCGTTATTCCCTCGTTTCCTTTCTCCGAAGGGGCCGTGTGCTTGATGCCGGCCCCTCCGGAGCCGGACGTCTCCGTGCTCGCCTCGCCGTCTCTCAAAGAGTGATCACGGTATCATTTTTAAGCTTTGATTTACTGTATCGAATGTGTCCTTTAATCTAAATCAAGCTATAAACCATCTACAGTACAGATAATTGTAATTCCTCTGCATTCAGTGGACAAACTGCACACGATCAAGAGCAACTAGCAGTGTCTTCGGCTGTGCATTTCAATACTAACGTCCAAAAATGCAAACTAGAAGAAGAAAAAAAAATAATCAAATTCAAAAGTGTGCTGTCAATTGCTTCAACACAGCAGCAGGAAGTCTCATTTTTTTACTTTGCATATTCATATGATTACTCTTCCAAAGGACAAATACGTTCACGTCAACACCATTGTCCTTTGATTCCACGTGATGAAAGGCTATCTCGTTTCATTCTTGCACATCTCTAGTCCAAACCTAGGCCCTCTGATTTGGTAAAATGTAATTCTAATTTATCATTTTTTCTGCTCGAGGCAAAACTCTCTCAAGCCCGGGGCTGTTTGAAAAGCAGTTGGACACAAAGACAGACCCTGGGAACTTTGCCCATGCAGTCAATCAGTCAGACACCCCAGAGTGCCCAGACCCCAACAGCTTGTTTTTTGTCCACAGATATCAAACAAATTCTCCTCTCCCGTTAGATAATAAAAAAACACAGAACTAGGAGTGAGTTGTTTCTGTCTCTCCTCCTTTTTTCTTTTTTGAACTCAAGATGGCTGGTGGATACGCGGCGTCTCTGGTGTGGTCCGGGTGCCGGGCAGCAGCGCGGACATCAAAAGGCGACGGAGGGCCTGTGACGGTGAATGCAGCTGGTGTCTGGGCCCCGGTGCTGGACAGAGCTACAGGCTGGGCCTCAGCTGCCCCACAATAAAGACACACTGGGGAAGGCAGAGCCTTCAAAGGCTAGACAAATACACACCCGGCCCTGCACAGGCAAACACACACACACACACACAAACACCCAGGCAAACAAGCACACGAGCGCCGACAACAATGCCCCATGAAAATGATTTCCTCCACCAAATGTCACGCAGTTTTACACAGAAGCGTCCTGTCGTCGCGCCGACTGTCTTTGCTTAATTAAAAGAGTTTTTGGGGATAGGATCCTGTAATGGTTTTGTTTGCGGCCGTGCAATTGTGTTTCTTAAGGGTAAAGTCGGCTTTTTTTTCAAGTGGGGTCTGCATAGACTCCCAGGGCCCCCACAGAGATCAACAGGGTCACCAGCCAAGTGACCAATAACGTTGGCTCGGAGGACACCAGTGATGATTATATTTGACGTCAAATGTGCACCGTCTTCTCATGAGAATACTTTGTATGATTGAACTAGTTTATGATTAATTGTGTCAGTGGGCGTGAATGGAACTGCAGTAGAATGGAGTCGTGTCTCTCCCGGTTGGGCAGAAGAGGGACGGATCCAGAGGACAAAGAGTGGGGTCTTGACGGCATGCTGTGGACAGCTTCATGTCTGCTGTGGTCCTGACTTCACAGTGGGACTCTATGTCTCTGCGGCTGACAGCTTTTCCCACGAGTCCACTCGCAGCAGTGTATCTGAAAATGCCGTAAAACATCGCTGACCGCTTTTCACACTTTCACCTCCTCTTGAATCCCTTTGACAATAAAGAGGTTTGAATTATAGTACTTGTTGATTTTAAGACTGAATATCATTTCTTTTTTTTATGTATTTATTTATAATGCTTCTGTTGATACTCGTTTGTGATAAGATGATGTTGGAGGACAGTTGTCGTCTTTCTCGAGAGACGCTGAGTTCCACTGTTGGCCTGTAGAGGGCATGCCGAATCAGCAATCTGCTCCCGCTCATTGGGGAGTCCGGAGACACACAATATCCCCACAGAATGGAAGCACAGGGCGGCTTTAATCTGTCTGTAAAGGGAGGAAATGTTTTTTGAGATAGAGGAATACTAATATAACAATATGAAGCTCGGGGATGTGCAGATTAACTTAAAAAAGGATTTAACAAGGGATTGATTTTTCCTGGGGAAAAAAAAAAAATAGAAATATCACCTTAAATCGCCAAAAGCAACTTTGAACAGTGGGCCTGTCAAACTGTATTGGGGGCATGAGATTGTTGAGCTGATAACTGAAAATGCACTTTCATTAAAACGCCACCTCTTCACTTTAACACGGAGGGAACAAACGAGTCATTAGAATAACGCCCTCTATTCCCTCTAAACGGGTTAGAGGTCCTGAATAAAACACGACTTATCTCTTGCGATCACGTTAGCCGTGCCATTATTCATTTAACCATTTATTTATTACTCCATTCATCTACATAAATATTTAACTATGTCTTGGCATCTTTATGGACTGCTTGCTCTGCTTCTCAATTAGAAGGAGCAGTGTCCTACCACGGCCATATGCCTTCTATCTGGCATCACTATATCTCCACAATTTATGGATGCCAACTCAGAGCAATATCATTCTGTTGGGCTTTGTGTATATCCATGCAAGTATTAATCTGGGCCTAATGACCGCCGACAATATGCTCCAGCCCGCGTGCCCGATAGGGCCGCCATTGTATTCGTATGATATATGGCGTACAATAAATTGAGTGTTCTTGTTTCGTTGTTGTGTAAATTGAACTGGGAGCCCATATGGGCTCCTCGCGAGCGGCACGCTGAATCGTCTGGACTCCGAGAGGCTTGACGTGAATAGATGCATGGTTTATTACTCACACGCCACATATTCACGCCACACTCGATAAGCCCCTTTGCAAGTTTTTACTCCCCCCCTTCCCCCTCCCTCGACAACAAAAGCCCCTGCTCGTTTGGCGAAGGGGAGCATGGAAGCATGCAGAACCGAGGGGAAGCGAGGAGCCGTAAACACCCGCCATGGGTCCTGCTTTAAAGTGATGAACAGCAATAAAAGCAGCACTGGTTCTCTGCTGGGAGACAAAAAGAGCATTTGACCACCTGGGTGCACATCATTTTCTCATGCAGTTTCTCAAGCATGACTATCAGGAGATGTCCCCCTGAACATTATATGTGGCTAACTCAAGCCGATCCCCGGGTCCCATCCAGCTTCTTCCATTCGCTCGCGTCCTACAGCTGCTTCCACGGCAGAGAGGAATCTCTCCAGAGCTCCGTGTCACCGCTCCTTCTTGCTCGCTCTCCGCCAAACGTTTTCTTCAGCTCCACGTTCTTGCTTTTGGAAAAAAAAGAGAGAAGCGTGGAAGAGTTTGATTAAGTCGCTGTTATCGGCACTGGATCGTTTATCTGCCCGTTCATTGTTAAGCAAAACTGTGGACTAAGGCGTTAAAGAGGAATAAATATGAATGTGAAGTTAGATATAGATTCAGAATCCAAATCGTGCTTTGATTGGTTCATTCTGTTCAGAAACAACTCCAAAGCGAAATCACCTCTAGATGCCTTTTTAGAGAGTTCATGTCGCTGATTTAAATTGCGGGACTCTGCAAATCAACAGCAAATCAAACATCCGACCCACATAGAACCCCCCTCCCCCCCCCCCCCTCCAAACCACCCCCTCCCATGACTCAGAATTGAGCTTTGTGTCAATTACAATCAAAGGCACTTTCACCGTTGTCTCCCCCTTTCCCCTGCCTTTCCCTTTGCACACGTTTCCTAAAATCACAGAGTATTGTAGACACTGGATACGCGTTAAGACAACTAGTTGTACTCTTTTGTTTGTCATTGTGCCGGTGTGTCATTACGAGGCCCCTGTTGAAGGCCAGCCGGGGTCACTGATCTCCTCTGTGAACACTTGAGGTGTTTTTATTTTGCGTTGTTGCTAAAAACTCCTATAATCATTTATTTCATGCCTCCCTCGATAATTCCTCCTTCACGGGATCCAGACTGTATTTACTTGGAGTCTCATGTGCTAATGTAAAATGTGCTAATAATGTGAACGTAAGGCCATCCATATCAACACACGTACGTATACATACGGTATTCATATTCTCTCTTTTTGTCGCTCACAGGCTTCGGCATTTCCGTCAATAGAGCAGATGTCTGGCTGCATCTTGGATCGAATCCAAGTAGCAGAATTCACAACCGAATCCTCCCACTTTCTGCAGCTCGGCTACAGAACACAAGTACGTAGTATCGCAGATTCATGCCCTTCCTTATAAAATACCTCACATTTCCACCAGCTCTCAGCTTCTCTGTCTCGGTCTTTCTAGTCGACCGGTGGTGTCGTGCTGGCCTCTGCCGGGCCCCCGGGGAGTCGTCCTTGGCGCATCGGGCGATTGTGTCTGGCCTTCCACTGCCGGCTCCCCCCCCCCCCCCCCCGTGGGGCCCAGAACCTGTGGCTGGCCCGGCAGTTTCCCGAGGTGGCCGAAATCCGAAACCGCCTTCCCCCCCAGGGGAAGTTTTCTCTCCCCGCGCAGTTCCCAGAAAGAAAGTCAAGTTCGGCCCCACAAGCACTGGGCAAAGGGCGGGGCCTATCAAGCGGGGGCCATCAAGGGCGCGGGAACCACGTCAGGAAGGCCAACATTTCTTTGGAATGGCGAATGAGTACCCGTTTTATGGTCATTTATTTTAAAAATGTCAAAAACACATCCAAAAGGTGAAGATGTTACTCGAGTTGTGGGAAACAGTGTGTTGGAGTCGAACTCAGTCCTACGAGACGCTTACTTACTGGTTTCGGGGTGGTGTCTGAACACACTGTGGAACTCACATGAAGACAGCTTCGCGCGCACCACGGGTCACATGTTCCCCCTCAGTTCAAAAGCAGAGAATCCATGAGGTGGTCGTCTGTGTGTTTACCCAAGTCCGTTTCAGTGTTTTCAGGTGCACACACAACCTTTTCCATGCCCTTCTTTTCACTGCTCGCCCCCCCCAATACACCCCACACACACACACACACACACACACACACACACGGCCTACAACTGCATCCATACCCATATTGACGCACACTTTCCCTGGTGTTGTTTTACCAGGGGGAGAGCAGCAATGGTCTGGAACAGGCCTGTTTTTTAGTGCGGGTCAAACTTTGGCCAGGCCTCAAGGCGGCAGCCATGCGATCCCCCCCCGAGGAGCCTCTGCTTCGGGACCCGTTTGAACCTCCACCTGCTGGGAGAACTTCACTTTAGATACATTGTTCAGGCCTTTCCAAACACTGCGGAGGGGAGGCGGGACATTATGCTAAAGTCAACACTGCATGATCAGTCCGCTCTTTGTACTGCGCTTTGAGGGTCACCTTCATTCTTGGACCATGTAGTGTGAAGATGAAGTGCATTAACTCCTGTGGTCACACACATGGGCCGAGCAGAACCTTTTTTTTTTTTTTCCTCGGCTTTACAAAAACGTGCTCATGTTCTATACGGGCCGATAGTTTGTCCTCCGGTAATCAGTCAGTGGGGTACTGTCAACATGACACATGTGACATCATAATGCATACCGAGAATCCATAAAAAAGGCTGCGTGAAAGGCTCTAATAAACGGTCTACTTGAGACTAGCGCTCAGCGGTAGTTTGAATTTGGATTTAAAAGTGACCCCAGGGTGTGTCAGGCCGTCAATAACCAGGACTTCTTCATGATCACATTGCATCAATGTAACAAAGTAACTTTCATGAAACTAAATCTACCTTGATAGAACGTCAAAATCTGTCATACTTACTAATAAAAACAAAAACACCTTGACCCTCCACCTTGTGCGGAGAAAACATATCCCTAACTTATGCTTTAATCTGATCACATGCCATTTTCCAATCAGTCACCCCCCCACACACACATGCAGCACAGAGTCCACCGCACGGACAAAAGGTGCTGCTGCCGGCCGTGTGTTCAGTTCTTCTCTCTTTTCCGCCCGTGAGCTCTACTTGTCGGGAAAAAAGGCAGGATGAGACGTCATCCATCTCCAGCTAACAGCCACCAGTCTGGCCCCATGCTGGAGCCCCAGAGAGAGGAAGCGATCGCTCACAGCACAGGAGCACATTCCCCCTCAACAAGGGGGGGGGAGGAAGGGGGGAGAGGGGGGCGAACAAGGCCGTTTAACCCATCGAGGCCCGGTCCACTTCACTGTTATTGTGCGGGTCTCTCTATGTGTGTGTGTGTTTCTGACACTGTGTTAATGGGCGTGACCCGGTTCCTCCTGTTCGGGTCGGTCGGCTGTTCAACACACAACACAAATACAGTAGACGTGTACCCCCCACCCCCCCCACCCCCCCCCCCGCCCACCACACACACCCGTCTCTCCGTTACTCCTCTACATATATATCCAGGAGCACCTCTCTTGTCTCCCTCCGTCCTCGTGGACGTACGGAGCGAAACCAGCCTGAGGAATTGACACTCCGAGTGTTCCCCACACTTTTTCTAATGGCATCGGAGCCCCCCGCCACTGCCGGGATGGAAGGTGTTTAGCGCCTCACTGTTTTTACTTTGACGGAGGAGGGATACTAGCGCTCCCCTGGCTCCGTAGGCTGAGACCAGTTCCGCTGTTATCATTTCCACTCTGGGCACGCTCCCCTCCCATTGAATCACATGTATTTATGTGTGTGGGGAGGGGGGGGGTTTAGCCCGCGGCTAGCCGCGATAGCCCCGTAAGCCCGAGGCCTGGACTGAGACGCGATGCAGATGCCCGTCTAGGTGACAGCCAAGGTGAAAAGCCCCATCTTGCACACGGGCGAAGGCCTTGGACAGACGGACGTGTGATGGAGAGAAACCGGTTGACCGTGCACCATTACAGAAATAGACCTGTCCGTGAAGAATGAGGCTACGGCGAAGGCAGCAGGGGAAATGAGAGAGGTCCCGCGCGGTGAATGCGTACGAACTGGAGCCATCGAGCGGAGGACGAGCCGAGAACTCAACGGTAGTTAGGTCAAGAAATGAAAGGAAATGGAGTCGATGAATGTTAGGCAGAACGACTTTTAAACAATAAAATTGACGACCCTTGTCTGCAGAGGTAAAGTGTGGACGGGGTGAGCCATGACAAAAAGCTATTGTTGACTAACGTCACCCGAGTGCGTTATCTTTGACCCTGCGGCTGGAAATGGGAAAAGAGTGAAGTGAGGAAGCAAATATGAATTACAGACAAACGTGTGGCTGTATGACAATGGAAGGAAAATAAATGGCTCTTTACACATTCAGAGTCAATTCTCTAAATGATCGCACGGCACCAAGTATCCTCAGGTAAACCCGTTTGTATTCATAGAGAAAGTGCAACAACACCTTTTGTTTTCTTCACGAAAGAACGGCATTGTGGGAAAAGACAGACTGCAAAGGTCATAATTATTCGCGGTCATGCTGCTCCTCACTTAACAGATGGAGACAACCTGAGTCAACATTTTTCAATTAAAAAAGAGAACACAAACAAACCGAGGGGAAGAGAGAGCACACACAGAGACGTACACACAAGCTGGGAAAAAACGGATATGACCTTGAGGACCCGATACCTCATTAAAAGTGATGCTCCGAGCCCAAAAAAACCCGGCTAATTAGAGAAATCCTGCTCACACTTAGCAGTACCACACATGGTGGGGGGTGCAAGAGATTCTCTGTATGCCGAGTGTCGAAACAAAGCTCGTTTCATCCTGATCGAAGTGCAAATATCTGACGTCAATTAAGCCTGGAAGAGGAGGGCGAACTGAGATACATTGAATTTACACACTAGCGTGTCCACATGAACATATGGATGCATTACGTTTTGGACGTGGATGGATGGTGACCTAACTCACTGAAAGAACAGCAACTCTACATGACGGAAGGTTTATATGAATCCGAAACCAGGTTTGTGATGTCATACACAAAACACACAGGGTTCATACATAACAATGAACGAGTGGTTTGTCCTTAAACAACTGAGTGAAGGTTTTAACTTATTAGTTTTAACGTGTTCATTAGTTATTCAAATATAAAATGTATGCAGTCTTGGTGTGTGTGCCTCTGCCATTGTAGAAAAAAGCATTAAATAAAAAGTTGTTTGAAGCTTTGGTGGCTCCGGGGGGAGCTGCATGAACTCTGATAAATTGCCTCCAGTGATGTCACTTCAGTCAGTGTCGATTTTTGGGCCGAAAACTACAGGTTTCAAAATGAAAAGAAGCCTGTGTGTGTGTGTGTGTGTGTGTGTGTGTGTGTGTGTGTAGTTGAGCTTACCAGACCTCCGCAGAGCGCTTTTCATCTCTGCCGGAGGGGAGGACGGCCGCTCGCGGCTGCGTTAGCCGCCAACGCCAAATCGCTCTCACC